CTGTTTTTCTCAACTTGTTGACCAAATTTTTGAAATTGATTATATACCAAAAGAAAGAAAATTGAATGAGGAATCGAACTAAAAAAAAAACTTGTTTCTATCTTGCTTTGAACAAAAGTTATGCCGGTTCAAAGTAAAAAAAATCATATCCATTATTTATCCAGTTTTTTCCCTATATCTTTCATCTAGACTAGACCAATGGAGAGTGTCGTCAATTTCCATTTCTTATGTAAAAAAACATGCCTTTTCAGATGGTATAGATATCATCTGGTTGGAAGTCACTTTTTTCAACTCGAAAACTAGACACCGGCGTATACAAGGGGGGGTAATGGTGGTAATTACCCCCCCCCAAGATCGTTACGATGGACGAAAAAAATGTACCCTACACCTTACAAATAAATCTATTTTTTATATTTTTACTTTTCAGCAACTGGCCCTAACTTGTTTTCTAGTTTGCACAGTGTCCGCACTGCCCGCATGCCATTTATAGCGAATTCTATTCAAATGGATAGTGCACACTGAGTGTATTCATATCTTTCTCTACTAGCTTGCATAAGAAAGAGATAAATAAATTTTTTGTATTAATCCTACCAATAGAATTCGCTATGCCTATAATTGAAAAGTTTTAGGCGATTCTCATGGCGAATTCCATTGGTAAAATCAGTGCGAAAGAGTGTATTTTTATCTCTTTCTTATAATAAGCTGGTAGAATAAGATACGAATACACTCGGTGCGCACTAACCTTTATTCCAATGGAATTCGCTATCAGAGTTCGGTTTCGTTATTTGTTGGTAGTACGGAATATATTTACCTAACAAGTGCGAAAAATGAATTTTTCCGCACGAGTCTGTCGTTCACCCAAAGACGCGTAGCGGAATTCGGTGAAGCAGCCAAGTTCGGCAGACAGATTTTCCGCATGTGTTAGGTACAATAGTTTTTTTACAGACGTGCGGAAATAAGTAGGTACATATACCCAAGGATGATACACACTACTACTACTACAGGATGGCTTATCCTCATAAGGCCTGTTTGTAAAAAATCCCCCTCTACCCCCCTTAGCCAAACAACCAGTTGTGTCGTAAGCAGCATGGCGTTTCTCGCCTTGACGTAGGCTGTTTAAACAGCTGAAAACTTAGTTATGACGTCGACAATGGTTGAAAACAGTTGAAAACCAATGTGGCGGCGATTACCAAAAACGAGAAAGAGTTGTTTCAGAATAATAATTAATGTAGTGAAACCAAGTTTTGCATAAAGGAAAAGCCCGCGGAATCATAACCTGTGGTACAAACACCCTACGTGAAGAAGAGAAACGACACGCTGTCTACGTCATCACTGATATTTTGGCATGGCAGCGACGGCTTCAGATTGAACTACACAGGCCTTATGAGGATAGACTATCCTATAGTAGTAGTGTGTAGTATCCTTGCAGGAAACTGAGGTCCAAAAGTAACCTCTTTTCCAGGAACCAGTAATTAGTAATTCGATTACTTTCGGAACGCTTTTCTGTAGTTGCCACATTTTTATTTTTCGTTGAGGAATTATGATTAGGAGCATTAACCCTCAGATTTGACTGGATTTATGCCCGATTGCACCATCTCTCGTAACTGAGGCTTAACGATAACTATCCCTTAAATTGACAGTTTTGCATGGGAAAATGTCACTTTAAGGAATAGTTATCTCTAAGCCTCGGTTAAGAGAGACGGTGCAATCGGGCATTACGATTTAACCCATTTCCCAAAATCCCAAAAAAAATACTTGCTTCTTGATGTTACAGATTGGTTACCAAGATCGTGTGTCAATATCGTGTAATTGTGAAAAATGAAAGCGTGTAAAAACGTGTAATTTTACCAGCATATCGTGCAATTTCACAAATTCAGATTAACAACACTGCCTTGGCATATACCTACATAATTTGTGGTCATTTATTGATTTTTTTTTTGACAGCTATGCGGAAAAGATTTAGATTTTTCCGCACCGATATCCGTGCGGAAAAAAATTCGCCGCACCGTGCGAGAAAATCGATTTTCCGCACTGTTTAATTGTCCTCAATCTCGTAGAAAAAAATTTTTTTGAAGGCTCAAAGTAAACGTTTTTGGGCGTGGCACCCGGGAAAAAATGGGCTGATTACCCCCCCCCAGACGCATGGGCTGGATACGCCGGTGAATCTAGAAGGCTTTTGGCGCTCCATCCGACGGACTATACAGGATTTCGCATAATTTTTATGGAATTTTGCATAAAAATATTGTGTGAAACACGTTGGGAAACACTATTTTTCATAACTCGCTTCCATTTGCGCAGAAATCAGTTCGTTACGAAAAATAGTGCTTTTCCCATAAATAACTATTCCGATATTCTTAAATTATTTCCTTCAAAATAAAAAAAAGTTTGACCCCGCTCGGGAATGTCAAAACACTCAAAACTCAAAGTAACCTTTTGTTTTGCAAGTTTATGACCCTCCCATTCCCTTATTATGTCACGCTCAAATCGTCAGATTATTAAAAAGCATACTTTTTAGCGTGCAACTAACTTACTTTACATTAATCTGACGCGCTCGAGTATTTGTGACGATCGTTTTTTTTTTTTTTTACTATTCTGATCGGCTGCCCTAACCGTACACCTCTATATACAAGTGTGCGCCATAAAGTTGGGTACATACGGAAAAATTCTCAAGTATTCCTTTCTCCAAAAAACTTTTTTTAGGGATCGTTCGTTAGGGCATGTTCGATAACCAAAAAATCGATTATGAATTATGACACATGTCATGCGATTATCGGTTTAGCGGGAATTTTGAAAAAAGTTGATATTGATGTCGAAAAACGGGTAAATTTGGCAAGATATCAAAACATTTTATAAGAAAAAGTTGTTCAGAATCGAAATAGAACTCCACATGCCGATTTTGGAGCAAATCAGAGAAAAAAAAATAAAACTACTTAATTTACCCATACCATTAAATGGAAAATCGAAAATATTAATTTTATTTCAAAAATAGCTTTATTCAACTAAACTTCATAAGTTTGATATCAAACGAATCGATTGTTTTGCGAAATACACACTTGAAGGTCATAAATTAGAAAAAACTGTCCGGTCGTGTCGCTGTAACTCTACCCATGTCCCTGTTTGCACCTTTTCTGGTCATCAGAAAAATAGCATGACATGTGTCATAATCGATTTTTTGGTTATCGAACGATCCCCAATAAAAGTTTTTTGAAAAAAGGAATAATTAAGAATTTTCCCATATGTAACTCATAATATGGTGTAGGCACTGAACAGGGTACAAGGTATTTTCCTTATTTCCTTGAAAATTCCTCATCTGTTTATCTTACATATAAAAACTATAGTTATGTTTTAAATTAAGCAACTTGTGTTTTTAAAAAACTTTTTCCGCACGATTTTTACCTTAGGGGTACTATTTTCCACTTCAAACGAAACTAATTTCAATATTTATCGTCGTTAACTTTTTCGTTATTGTTATTAGAATGTTCTGTAAATAAGTTTCCTATTAATACATCATGATAAAAAAATTCGATTCCATAATTTTTTTGTGTATAAAAAAATCGTGCGGAAAAGTAAAATAGTAGGTATATTGTGCAATAAGTGTTGAAAGTGCTTTTCACACGCGTTACACACAATACTTTTTTTACGACTGCGAAATAACACACACACATTGAAATTTAATTTTTTTTTTGTTAAAAATTATTATTTAGGGTTATAATCAACGAACCATTTTAGTACGTACGTTGAATGCACTCAAGAGTTACTTGTAAAACAAAAATTCAGTAGAAGTGTCATTTTTATTTTAGCGTGTGAAAAGTACTTTTCGCACGCAAAAGCGTACTTTTTGCACGCTGTGTGAAATAATTGATTTTCCAGGTAAGTTAGTAGTGCGTTTCTAATAGCTTTCTAGTGCAGTCGTAGAAAAAGTAACTTTTCCGCACGATTTTTTATTAAATATGAAGATATTCAAGACCAAATAAATGGTTTATGTAATTATTTTATATTATGTGCTATTTTGTACCATTATTATAAAATCTTTGCGTATTAAAAACATTTTTTTTTGATAAATAAGATAGACAAAAACACTCGTAGGAAAAACATTGTACCTAACTCTTGCGGAAAATGTCTTTTCCACCCCCGAAGTCCGCTCCGCGTCGTTCGTGCAACTGCCGTCTCGTGCGGAAAAGTGCCACTTTCCACACTGGTTAGGTAAATAACTATATTACTTAATTAATAACGTGTGAATCCAGTGAAGCGAACTAAATTTATTATTATCTTGCTCGTATTTTGTTAAGTTCTTTTAGTTAGGGAACAGAAGCAAGTCTCTTGGCATCAAATTATTCGTTGTAACTTTTATTTTAACAAATTACACATCAAAACTTATTTACTAGACACCCGATTGACAATATTTAGCTGTAGGTACTCTGTACGGTGTACAATTCAATAAAGTTGGCTCAAGAATGGTGTTAAAAAATAATATTCCTATAAACTAAGTAATTATGCTGAATAAGCGGTATACTGATGAAGCAGTTTCGTTCTTTGCTGCAAGTCAGTGGCCTGCAGTAGTGGCAAAGCAATGGCGAAGCAATGGCGAAGCAGTGGCGTTACATAACAATTTATATAAAAGAATAAATGCTGAGCTAGACTATGACTAATTGTTATTACAATTATCCTGAATCATTGGAGATGGCCATATAATTCTATTATAAATACATTCAGGCATCCATAGCTGCAAAATGTGACCAATAATATGTCACGAGTGTAACCACCCTTTATATTGAGTTTCATGTCATTTTATGTATTTCTTGGCTTCTGAATGTAAAATCATTACTTTCTATGTTCTATGACGCAAATGTAACCAGCTAAAAATTGATAAGGACAACTATATGAGTTGAATGATTAAGTACAAAGAGCAAAGTATGATATAAAATGTAACCAATATGTCACGAGTGTAACCACCTTTGATCTCGAGTACATTTATCTGAAGTAAACAATCTTATTTCCAGATATCGTGCACAGAGACATAAAAATGGAAAACATCTTGTTGGCCGATAATCCAGCGGACGCTTCGGACGAATGCTTCATCAAGCTGACCGATTTCGGACTGAGCATCGTCAAATCCGGAGTGGGAATTCAGAGTTTGATGAGCGAATATTGCGGCACCGTCGTTTACATGCGTAATAAATACGTCTTTTAAGGCTTGGTTTTATGTTATCACTAACAGGAACCGATAAAACCAACCCTAAAAATTACGCACTTAAATTTCAGCTCCGGAAATATTGGCAATGAAAACTTACAGTGAATTGTGCGACGTATGGGCGATCGGCGTCATAATGTTCATGATGCTCTACGGAAAATATCCATTTATGGACAAAACCGAGGAGAAAATTCGCGCGAAAATTTGTCACGACGAACCGGACTACAAGGACAGCGGAGTAGGAAAAGAAGCTGTCGAATTGCTGAAGGATATTTTGGTAATTTTTGTGAATTTTTAGAAAATAAAACGTTGACCTAATTTTGCTCAGAAAAAAAATCCAGTGCAAAGGATAACGGCCTCGCAAATCAAAGAAAATCCATGGCTGAGCAACAAGCAACACAAGCGCAAAGAGCAGAATATCGTCGACATGATGAAACAGTTCGCGACCGAATCGAGCCCAACGGGTCCACGAGTTAGAGGCCTGGTAATTATCACTACCTAGTTTATTAAGGCCCTGTTTATTCGTCTTCAGTAAAACTTGATAGTAACTATCTGCAAGATAAATTTACCGTTCTATAATTCTATTGGTCGGCGTATAACTGGCCGACCAATTGGCTTATAGATTGCGTTTTTATTTGTCAGATTGTCAGATTGCTTATCTGGCACTCCTAGTCCTAACATAGGTATCAGGAGGTGAATAAACCGGCATTAAAGGCCCAGTTTATTCACCTTCTGATAAATTGTCCAGGTAATGCAAACTCTAATTTTATTGGTCGGTCAGTTATCTTCCGACCAATAGGATTATAGATTGGTAAAGTCTTGTGAACATAGTGAACAGTTGCTGAAGATTAATAAATTCGGAATCAATTAGCCCTAGGGTAGATTTTTTTGAAAGCTGGTATACCTAGGTACTCATCATATTGTCGCGGCTTTGGGTTGCCTGCTGACAAAAATCTTGGGTTCGTTGTTTGTTTCGTTTATTCCAAAAATCAAAGTCCAATTAACACAGCAATAATTTATTCCACTTAACAAAACACTCTGACACTAATTACTTTATTAACAAACTCAACAATTAAACTCTTTACAATCACTATTTAAATCGTATCACAGTCGAACTGAAACTAACTTAACTTACCAATCAATGCCGGCCTTCTTATATATCCCTAAATCTATTCCTGTGAAATCCAGAATACACACGATAATCTAATTTTCCAGATTAAAGTAGAATAATTCGCTAGATTCTAGTATTTCCGCCATCGATTCTTGACAGCCTGGCGGACGCCGTTTTTTCTGGCGTTAACGATTTCGTAGCAATGCCCTCCTCTTAAGGTTGATCGTCCCGATCAACTTCACGCCCATGATATTTCGCCAATCTGTCCAGATGTACAACTTTCATCTTACTCCTGGTGTTGCGCTGGACTCGATAAACCAAATCATTGATCCTCTTGATTATTTTGTAGGGTCCCTCCCACGCTGAAGACAACTTCGGCGATACTCCTTTCTTTCTAGCTGGATTATACAGCCACACTAAATCACCTTCTTGAAATCCGGCTGAATTGGCTTTCACGTCGTATCTGGTCTTCATCCGGTCACTGGCTAGCTGAATATGCTCCCGAGCAAAATCATGGATACCCAGAAGTCGTGCCCTTACTTCGTCGGCATAATCTCGGATTTCTCTTCGTTCTTTTTCGGGTACTCCAAATATCAGATCGCAAGGTAACCTGAGTTCCCTTCCAAAAACAATTCTAGCCGGACTTTCACCTGTTGAATCGTGAACAGCCGCTCTGTAAGCCATTAAAAATAGAGGCAAATGCGTGTCCCAATCTCGTTGGTTCTTTGCGACCACTTTTGTCAGGTGTTCCTCTATGATCTTATTGAATCGTTCCACCATGCCATCAGACTGAGGGTGTAAAGGTGTTGTCCTGGTCTAACGGATTCCCATGATCTCACAAATTTTCTTAAAGATGGCAGATTCGAAGTTTCGTCCCTGGTCTGAATGTAACTCTAGTGGCACACCATGACGACTAAAAACTTTGTCCACTAGCACCTGGGCAACAGTGATGGCTTCTTGATTGGGAATAGCAAAAACTTCTGGCCATTTACTGAAGTAATCCATGATAACTAAGATGTATTTGTTACCACGCTCTGACTCTGGGAACGGTCCAGCAACATCTATCGCTATTCTTTCAAATGGGAGACCGACGTTGTACTGTTTCATGGGCCCCCGAGATCTTAGTTTAGGGCCTTTACTGGTAGCACAGATGTCGCATTTTCGGCACCAGCTTTTAACGTCTTCATGGTAGTGAACCCAGTAAAAACGTTCCCGAATTTTGTCTAAAGTTTTGTTAACTCCGAAATGTGCCCCTGAAGTTCCGTCGTGTATCTCTTTTAATACATCTTCCACTCGGTCTTTTGGGGCCATTTTCTACGGCCAGAGAGTTCCACTGGGCCCACAACGCCTTGTAAATCAAGCTTTTGTTTGACACTTTCCCCCATTCTGGCCTGTATTCATCATTTTCTTTAAGATGTAGAATTTGCCCGATGTCCTGGTCTGCCTCCTGATCTTCTCTCATTTGCTTGGTAGTCCATTTGTCATCGACGATCAGGCCCGTTCTTCTTACAGCTGGACTAGTGTTTTTCTCATGTATATCGATTCTTTGACAATGTTTGCAATCTTCTTTACATGGCCGTCTAGACAGAGCGTCAGCATTTTTATGTAGGTTTCCAGGGCCGGTATTCTCGTTCTCGAAAACGCTCACCGCTTTTTAGTCGCTCGGCACTTTCAATGTAAATTTACATTAGAAGTGCCGAGTGACTGAAAAGCGGTGAGCGTTTTCGAGGACCAGAATACCGGCCCTGGTCGATGTTTAATTTGGAAATCGTATTGCTGCAATTTCTCAATCCATCTAGCAAGCTGTCCTTCAGGATTTTTCATTTCTAAAAGCCATTTTAGAGCTGCGTGATCTGTTCTAATTAGAAACTTGCGTCCGTAGAGATACTTATGAAAATGGTCGACTGCTTTTACTATGGCCAGCAACTCTCTTCTGGTGACACAATAATTTCGTTCCGGCTTTGATAATGTTCTACTGTAGTACTCCACGACATATTCTTGTGAGTTTTGGATTTGTGAAAGGACAGCTCCAACACTGGTGTTACTTGCATCTGTGTCCAAAATCAACATGCCTTTGTGATCAGGATAGGACAACACTGGGCTCGTACATAATGCTCCTTTCAATTTTCTAAATGCGAAATCGCATTCTTGGGTCCAATTGAATGTTGATTTTCAGTGGCGGACCTAGGACCTTTGGGGCCCGACGCAAAATTTTTTTTTGGGGCCCTGTCATGCTTTTTTAGGTATTTTTCTTGTGGTGTTGGGTGTTGGGCTGTAAAGTGAGTGTGCGGAAGTTATTTATATTTTTGAAGTTTTCAACAACCAAATATAGAAATAAATTTAATCAAAAAACAAGTTTTTCCGCAAACGTCAAAAAATGACAATTTTTTTAACCTCAATTCTTACTGTTGAAGTTTGACTTCACAGACGTCATTTTTTTGGTTAATTTTTTAACCGCGCGTTCCGTGAGCGTACAAAAATAGTATATTATGCAATGATCATGTAATGATAGCCATTAATACACGAGCATGTTGTAGGATACGAAACGAGCCGCAGGCGAGTTTCGTATATAACATGCGAGTGAGCGAGTGTATCAATGGCCATTACATGAGAGTTGCATACACTATTTTTTCTACTGCCATTGATAAAACTTATGATTTTTAGATATGTCAACATTATGCTTAACTTTGAATAGAGATTTTATAATTGAGTGATGCGTCCATACAGTTGAAGGTTTAATTTTTTGTTGTAATTCTTTAAAATATACTATCAAAACATTTTCTGAGAAGGACGGTGTGTTTTTGGTGTTTCCAATCCATAAATTGTCCTAATTTTTCGTAAATTTTCTTGGACTTGTCCGGTAGTATATTTATTACCTGCTTTTGTCGCCCTTTATGTAATTTCTAGAGGTGTTAGTGAAAATTCTTCGTTATCACTCAATATTTCCATAATAATGTCTCATCCCAAACTTTAGGTAACTTTTAATAACAATTTGAAGTATTTTTTTATAAAATTAATTGGCCTATTCGGGTTTGGAAAAAGTACGGTTCTAGAACGGTCCAGAAGAATCGCACAGTTTATTATTGAAATTTGTGATAGTCGAGTCGTTGTTATTTTGTTGATCAATAATAATAATAATAATAATAATAATAATAAATTTATTCAAACACAATTACAATCAACAACTGTTTTAACTAACATACACAAATAATATTACTTCTACATCTATTTAGCGGCACCTAAGTGAGCAAATCACCTGTATGTGCCCGATATGTTTCCAGCTTACTGGTAATTGAATAGTAAAAGCATGAAACATAAAATAAGAGAAATAAAAAACAACAATTGTTATAATTGTTGTGCTAACTACTTACGCCTACCCCAAAGCCCCCCAGCCCCGTACCCCATCAACATTTTCCAATTCCATGAATTTACAACAATATTTTTATTTCACTTTCAAAGTACATACCTTATATCTAATCAAGGATAGCCATAAAACTATCACTATTTTTAACAATATATATTTTACATTTTTTATTAAACAATTTTATTCTAGATAGGTTTTTTATTTCCGTTGGTAACAAGTTATAAACTTTTGGTGCCAAATAATCTATAAATTTCAAGTTTAAAGTCTTGCTATTCATTGGTATCATCAGGTGTTTATTTACATTTGATCTAGTCTGGTGGTCATGTGCAATAAATTTTTTCATGGTTTTATTTTTAAATGTAAATAGACAAATGGAATGTATATATAGACATCTAATATTGCATATTGTCGCATCATACAGCAAATTGGTTGGGAAAGATCTTTTTTTTTTAAAGATGACCTTTAGAATGTAATTTTGTATTGTCATGAGAGGAAGTAGATTGCTCTTGTATGTGCCCCCCCAAATTATTAGTCCATATCGGAGCAAGGATTCAACCAGTGATTTATAAATCATTAATATTAGTTTTGAGGATAGGAATTCTCTTAAAATGTAGAATTTATAAATAAGCGTGCGGATTTTTTTAGTAAGGTACGATACATGCCCATTCCATTTGAGATGCTGGTCAATTATGAGACCAAGATATTTTATTTCCGATACTTCCGCTATCGTTGTATTGCTTTCACTGTTAGTTGTGATGTGATTAAATGCTGGTCTATTTGCGCGGGTCAAGGAAAATGCCATATATTTGGTTTTTGTTAGGTTTAGTGACAGTTTATAAGAGTCCAACCAGTTTTTGACTGCGTTGAAGCCATCAACCAATTTATTCTTAACTTCCTCCCATGTATCCCCTTCAAACAACAAAACAGTATCGTCTGCATAAGAAATCATTTTCCCATGAATATTAAGTTTCAGCAATGAATTAATATATGTTATGAAAAGGATCGGCCC